CTTATGTGATTCGCACTTTTCCATTTTGATTGAATAAATTTATTTGATGTTACTAATTCCTATATTTTGCTCCCATCAAGATTCTAGCTATTCTCCTACAGATTGGTGGTGAAGAGACTAGTCTTCGGCTGTCTGAGATGGACGGAGTTGATATCCTTCTGCAACAGCTTGCTGCCTACAAGCGTCGTGATCCAACCAGTCCTGAGGAAGTGGAACTAATGCACAACCTTTTTAATTGTTTATGCACCGCTCTTCTCCTTCCGGCCAACAAACAACGCTTTTTGAAGGGAGAAGGAGTTCAGCTAATGAACTTGATGCTTCGGTTGGCCTAATATTTCTCCTTCCAGCTACTTTTTAATGTTCATTAATGTTCTTTTTAAAACTATTGTTATCATAGTCTGTTCTGATCTTCCTAGAACCAATACCTGTGTTTCCTATGTAAAAATGGGTTTCGTTATGTTCTAACTTAATGTTATGGTGGCATTTATTTAGCTTGAAATTGCTTGATTAATATATAGCCAGCCATACGGCGAACAAAGCTACCAGACAGGGTAAATGCTCAACATTTTGCAGCTTGGTTGGAGGTTAAAAAGTAATTGGGAATTACCAGATCGTAGAATATCATGTCACACCTGGCTTTAATATAATTAGAGAGGGGGTAAAAAGGTAAACCATGGGATAACTCCAGAATAGTCATCATTCGGTCTCCGGTTATGCTAATGTACGAATCTCCTCCACTTACCTTTTGAAAAGAATTGAATAGTAAGCAATCCTATTAATTAAGAGAATCTTCATTGCCTATTTTCCCTTCATCCCCAACACCTTTTTCTCTTGGCTTTCATTGAGGCAATTTAACCTATCCTTTCAATCTTTTCATATGAAAAGAAACTTAATGCCGACACTCTTGAGTGAAGTTTAAGGAGAGCTAGGTTGGCTTGCGAACTTGGTCATCCTTAGATATATTTTGGTATCACTTGACATATATAAAAGAAATGCCACAGGATTTTAGCAGCATTAAAAAGTGATAATTATTGTTATTTTCTTAAATCAAGGTATGAAGACAAGGATGATATGGCCTTTTGCATAGCCTCGGACTCCTTTTGTTGTATAGAAGTTGCTTGACCTTGTTTTCTTAAGTTGGTCATATTGGTATGAAGGCCTAGAAGATCGCACCTAGTTCGGAGTCCATAGTATGCATGTTAATTTCATGATTCGGACCGTGTACTTAGTACATTCCCAGAGGTTTCGCCGGCATCGTAGTCAGCACCGTCAGTGAACCTTACCATTCTTAACACCACATTACAACTCTTCAAAGAAACAAATGAAGTCGTTCATTTGATCAATTGTCTGCTAAACAGTTGTGGCATCTCTCATTATGTTATGAGCTATTCATCAATCCTATATTCTTGTATCACCCCCTCAATATCAATATATAAACCTATTCGAACTCCCCGTTGGTCTTCTTATCCCTTCTACTGTGCTGAGAGTGTTGATCTAAGGCTGCTGTTTAATCCGCAATCTTCCCTTCGGGTCCTATCAGAGTGTCCCTCTTGTTCCATAGGATCCTTCCCTTATCTGCCTGTTTCAATGATTTCATTCTATCGCTGTCACCGTGACCATGCTACTCAAGGCGTTATGTTCTACACTCTGCCTCAAGCATTTAATAGCATGTATGCACCAGCCATACTGAGGGGGCCCCTAAAGTCTGGATTCTCTATTGGCATGGCAACCTATCTTTATGCTGAAGATTCCCTTATCAGCGAGCAAATGTCGTGGTCAAGCCTTTACTTCATGGATCACGTCTATGAGCAAACTTATCTACTAATAGCTAACCAGAAATGGTCACCATCGTTTCTCTCGCTCTTTTTATCCTAATGCCAAGTTTATGACTTTATGATGCCCAAATCTCTTGCCTGCTGACCCTCAGATGTGATAGGTCTATTTGATCTAAATAGGCTCACTTTAGATGTTTCTTTGTGGTTTCCGATAGTTCCTCTGATATTATTGCAATTTCTTTTCCTAAACTTATAAACATTCCATTATTTTTGTCGATATTTCTGTTCCTTGATCTTCTCCGAGTTTGCTTAGGCGGTATGAAAAGTTTTTGCCAATCCTGCCTTCTTCAAGTCTTCTGTTCATTATATTTCTTTCAGTCAGAATATTGATGACTTCTCGGATCTTGCGTTGTCTTGAATTTTCATCATATGCTGCCTTTCTATCGATTTCCACTCGATTTCGTTTCTCGTCCATGCGATGTGTTCCACTATTTAGGATCTTACAGTGTCCATGTTTCTGCAGAGTCTTTGGTGTTCCTTGATTCGTAGGCTGATTTTTCTTACTTTTTAGCAATATACCTCTGCTAACATTTGCCGAATTTGATGCTATTTACTCCCGAGCAATCCAGTTTATAAACCTTCTCGTGTTGCGTCGACAGGCTTAAAAAGAGTTTTCTTTTGTTATCACCTTGACATTCTATTGTCTTAGCAACAGTCGCAATTTTTGGCTCAGTGCACAGGAGGGCAGGCATATCCTCTTTTGGTCTTTCTACCAATTCCTGATCTTATTTTCATAAAATACTAGTTGAAATCTGTTCTTTATGACCCCTATATTTCTTTTTACAGATTCTCTGATATACCTGTTATAATGCAAATCCGAGTCAGTTTCTCCTATTCCTCATTCCAGAACTCAGTGTTGATGATCATACTCTTCATTATTCTGATCTTCAGTCTGCAGCTGTGATGAGACTGGAAGGTGAGGATTATTCCCGCATATGATTTCTTTCTGAATGATCTCCCCTTGAGTATTCTTCTGGAGCGACTGACCTCAATATCCAGGAAGGGTTATCGTTTATCTCCCTCCATCTCCATTGCGACTTTAA